CTGACCAGGACTTGGCTGGCCCACACTGACCTGAAGGAAAGCAAGAGGGGCTTAGAATGAGGCAGGGAGGAAGGGGCCGGTACATGTGAAGCAGAAGAATGGCTGAGAAGCCTGCCTGTGTGGTGTGCCAGGGACTGGGGGCATCCCAGCACTGGGGAGGCAGGTGGGATACTGGAGAGAACAAGGGCTTTAGCTCCTGGGGACCTGGGCCAAATCCCTGCTTTGCCACATAACAGCTGGAGGGCGGTGGCAAGGCACTGAGCTCTGTAAAAGGGTGGGATGATAATAATGTCTTCTTCATAGGGTTTGACAGCATCAAGTGAGGTAATACAGGTAATAGCATATTACATACTGTAAGGAGCTATATAAATGTTAAATTTAAGAAATAAATTCAAAGGCTGGGATATCTCAGAGGGTCATGAATAGACAATAGTAAGGGGCATCTATCACACACAGGTCAGAGTATCCCTGAAGCCCCAACAGGGGACCAGCACCCAGGGCCCCCCCGCATGGAATGCTACTCTGGACAGCCCAGCCACCCACCCTGCTCCAGCATCTTGGGCCAGAACACCACACAGGCTGAGTGCTGCTGTACCCAGGGTACCAGCTGGGGAGATGCCTGTGACCTCTGCCCATCTGAGGACTCTGGTAAGTCCCCAAGAGTCTGGATCCTCTTAGAGTGAGGGTGACACTGAAAGAAGGGGTGAGAGGAAGGGGGCGGAGGCCTTTCCTCTCTGAGCTCGGATACCTCTCTAACAGTTGAATTCAGTGAGATCTGCCCCAGTGGTAAAGGCTACATCCCTGTGGAAGGAGCCTGGACATTTGGACAGACCATGTACACAGGTACCCTTCCTCTAACGCTGCCCTCCACACTCCACTCCCTTGAGTGGGCTCCAGCCCGGTCCATGGGGTCCGTGAGGGAGTCTTGCATCCAGCTCTGGACCCCCAGCTTGCTTGCATCATTTCTGTCCCAGGACCGACTCCCTACAGAGTGTTTACTGGGAGTTCTGAAGTGTCCACATGACCCTCACCTCAATTTCCCTGCTCCCCCAAAGCTGCACCCTCCAACAACAACCTATGATGCCTTGACTGACCCTAACCTCCCCTCACAGTGGGCACAGGGACAGAGCAGAGAGTACTGACCTAGAGGCCAAAGGCAGCTGTGTATCTCCTGGGCCCCATTTATGAATGCAGAAACTTTGGGGAACCCATGCTTACATTGGGGTGATACAGGTTCTGAGCCCCTTGCTACCCTAGTCCTGAGAAACAAAAGATAGAAACAGAAGTGTCTCTGAGCTTGCTGTGTGCCGAGCACGATTTTGAGCACCTTACATTTATTCACACTTATTAATCCTCATAACAACTGCAAGAGGTTAAGGAGTATGGTATGTGGGAAACTGAGGCAAGGAGAACTTAAGCAACTTGCTGAAAACCACCCAGCTAGTAAGTGGCAGAGCTGAATTCAGACCCAGTCCGGTTTGGGAGTCCCTCATCTTGAGCACTGGCTCATGCTATTTCTCACCTCCCCCTCACCTCAGCTCTGCCTTCCCACAGATGCCGATGAGTGTGTGATGTTTGGGCCTGGTCTCTGCCCCAATGGCCAGTGCCTCAACACGGTGCCTGGCTACGTCTGCCTGTGCAACCCTGGCTACCACTACGACGCCTCCCACAGGAAGTGTGAGGGTAAGGACACACGCGGCCCCTCCCCAGCCCAGGCCCCCGCCTGAGTGCCCACCCAGCCCCAGCTGGCCAGGCCTACTCTTGCTGAGGACCCCCATGCCTGGGAGGATGCCCACTCACGTGAGGGAGCTCTGGGCTGTCAGGGATTATCCCCAGGGACCAGTTGGAAAGGTGTCTGAGGGAAAGGCCTCCTGGGCTGGGCTGGGTTGGGGGTGGAAAGCAGGGGTTACCTCTGCATTGTCAATTCCAGAAGAACCCCCTTCCCTGAGGGTAGTCAGTGGGGAGGTGGCCTTGGCACTGCGCCCTCTTTCCTGCCACCACAGATCATGATGAGTGCCAGGACATGGCCTGTGAGAACGGCGAGTGTGTGAACACAGAGGGCTCCTTCCATTGCTTCTGCAGCCCCCCCCTCACCCTTGACCTCAGCCAGCAGCGCTGCGTGAACAGCACCAGCAACACAGGTGAGTGGGCCTGGGTGGAGTTAGCAGGGGGAAGGGACCTGGCTGGGGGGCTCATATACCTCTCCATGCCCTGTGCCACCAGAGTATCTCCCTGACCATGACATCCACATGGATGTCTGCTGGAAAAAAGTCACCAATGACGTGTGCAGCCAACCCCTGCGTGGGCACCGCACCACCTATACGGAATGCTGCTGCCAAGATGGCGAGGCCTGGAGCCAGCAATGTGCTCTGTGCCCCCCTAGGAACTCTGGTGAGGAGGAACCAAGGGAAGATACCAGCAGGGCTGGGCTTAGCCCCTGGGAGGGGGATGGCCTCACTCTGGGGGGGAAGCTGGAAAGAAGGGGCAGGGCAGTCAGAGCAGTGGCTTTGTCTTCCTTCCCTGTTGTTTGGGGACAAAGCAGTGCAGGAGAGGGCCAGGAGAGGAATGCAGCTGGAACTCCCAGAGGGCACTGGTCACCTTTAGCTAGCAGGAGTCAGAACTGCTCCCTCTCCCCCTCTTCCCTGACAGAGGTTTATGCTCAGCTGTGCAACGTGGCCCGGATTGAGGCAGAGCGGGAAGCTGGGGTCCACTTACGGCCAGGCTATGAGTATGGCCCTGGGCCCGACGACCTGCACTACAGCCTCTATGGGCCCGATGGGGCCCCCTTCTACAACTACCTGGGCCCTGAGGACACCATCCCAGAGCCCCTCTTCCCCAACACAGCCAGCTACCCAGAGGACCACACACCAGTCCTTGAGCCTCCCTTGCAGCCCTCAGAACTCCAGCCCCACTATGTGGCCAGCCATCCAGGTCTGTGTTGCTGCTAAAACAGGGACGAGCTGGGCACTGAGGCTGCTTTACTTCCATCTCCTCTACCAGCCAGTCATACTGATGCAGGGTAGGACAGGGAAAGGGAACCATGAACCAAGCCAGATGTCCCTGCCCGTGGGTCCCTCAAGGGATGACTTTATATGCTGGGGTCAGAGCCTAACAACTCCGTCTGATGAACTAGCACAGGGACACAAAGAGATACAGGAGGTTTTCCCAGCCTCACAAGCTTCCGCATGGGAATTGTGAGCAAGAGCAAGCGGGTAGGCTCAGGTCTGTTTCGCTCCCTCACATCACTTAGAGGCTGCAGAATAACCCACTCTGAGGAGACCCAGCATTCAAACTTGGGACCTCAAGTATGAATTATGGATTTCCAATGACTTTAAAGGCTCATTGCAGTGACTCAATATGTGCATGGTGACAATTCCAGCACTCAAGCCTTGGATTCCAATGAGGAAGTCAGGCCTGGCACCTGTGCAGTGGACACAGACCCACCACAGACACCGCCACCACATCTGATAGATTAAAGCCCTCCAGCCCCGGGGACAGGCCTGGAGGGGTGATTGGAGAGAGAGGAGGGTTAGGCAGATATGGCCGAAGATTTGCTTTGTGTTGAATGAGGCTCCTTGGCTGCCAATTCCTTCCCCCCAAATGATATAAAGATTTTTTTTTTTTTTGGCCGGGACTGGGTTTGAACCCGCCACCTCCGGTATATGGGGCCAGCGCCCTACTCCTTTGAGCCACAAGTGCCGCCCTGATACAAAGATTTTTAAAGAAAACCCCCTAACCCCAAGCCCCCAGATATACAGACAGCTCAGCCAACCTCTCAGGAGCAGGGAATGGGTAAGCAGGGCCTGCACTGAGAGCATCCCACTGCCCCCACCTAAAGTGGCACACGCATATTTTTTTAAGAGGACTGCCTTTTGTCCTTGAATCTTCCCGTGGGGGTTTTATGATCCTCGCACGCTCTCCCCAGAGTTTGGAAGCCCTCGGCAGGGAGGCTGTGGTCCTGACGCGGGAGAGCTCTGTCGGACACACAGCCTCAGCTTTTCGCTCTGACCGCGCCCCCCCTCCCTGCCCCAGAGCCCCCGGCCGCCTTCGAAGGGCTGCAGGCGGAGGAGTGCGGCGTCCTGAATGGCTGCGAGAACGGCCGCTGCGTGCGCGTGAGGGAGGGATACACCTGCGACTGCTTTGAGGGCTTCCAGCTGGACGCGGCGCACATGGCCTGCGTGGGTGAGTTCCCAGCCCGGGCGGGGATGTCAGCCTGGCCACAGCCACTGAGCGCCGGCCGGACCCGGATGGCTGGGAGGACCTCTGCTGCCCCCTAGTGGCCCGTCTGCGTCGGGCCAGGTGAGAAAGTGCCAAAGGAAGGGGTGGCGCCGCGCTCAGAAAGTCCCTTAGAAAGCCCTTCTAAGGAGCTTGGAGACAACAGGGAGATGAGGGCAAGAGAGCAGGGCCGTGGGCACAGTATGAGCACACTGCCCCCTGCTTTGTGTCCTTGAGCTGCTTGGTTTTGGGAAATGACTTCGGTCTCTGGCTGTCATACCTAGGATTCCACAGCAGGGCAGGGGCTTGTGCTTAGTGACAAAGCCACAGAGGCAGCAGGCCAAAGGCACCTGGGCTCCCTACAGTTTTCTCTTCCTTCCCTCCCTCTTAGATGTGAATGAGTGTGAGGACTTGAACGGGCCTGCTGTGCTCTGTGCCCACGGTTACTGTGAGAACACAGAGGGCTCCTACCGCTGCCACTGCTCCCCAGGTTATGTGGCTGAGGTCGGCCCCCCACACTGCATCGCCAAGGAGTAGCAGTGAGGTGCCAGTGTGGGCAGCTACCTGGAAACAGCCTCCAGCCACACGCCGGGGCCTTGAGGATACTTTCCTAGCTGGGAAGATGCCATGAGACATCAGGCCAGAGGTTCTGCCTTGTCTGCCTTCATCTCTCCCAGCAGAGCCCCTGGCTGCGAGCTTTCATCACTGCCTCCATGCCCTTGCTTGGCTCAAATACCACCAGTCACTTTCATGCTTCAGCCACTGGCCAGGAGGCCCAGTCCACCACCTGTCTTGACCTTGCTATGGGATGCTAACCAAAGGATGGCCCTCACTCACCCCCCCCACCAAGCTGTGCAAATGTGCAATGTCCTGTAGCCTCACGCTGCAGACACCCCTTTCCAGCCATGATCCACTTATCATCCCAGTGATTCCGCAACTGGGACAGAGGATACATCTGCCCTGAGAGGGTCCTTCAGAATCTATGGAGCAAGAAAGGGCTTGAGGGAGTGTGGGGACTGACTCCAATGCCCCCTCCCAAGAACCATCACCACCACTCAGCCAGTCTGGTGTGGGCCCTGATTGTGCCGTATCTCCATCCTATAGCCAGTTTTCTGGCCCCAGGGAACGGCAGAAGATCCCCTCACTCAGAGGCATGACTAATAGTAGCTTGTTGAGTGTAAGAGGTACAAATGAAGAGGAACAAAGAGCCTGAGAAAGCAAGAAGGCAGAATGAAAAATGTGTGCAGTTGATAAGAAAGGGGGAGCCGAGGATTTATATAAGTCTAAAGAAAATACTAAGTAGCTTGCAGTAAATTAATATTCGACACCCACTCAGTGATAGCCCCTGTGCACCAGCAGCAAGGGCTGCCACAAGATCAAGCACCATCTCCACAGAACACTGCACATATACCACTCTTGCAGGAAACAGACCTCTGTTGGGTAAAAGTCAGTTTGATGTGCTAAAAACAAAAAGGTCTGTTTTCTAGGGTGGTCTTATTCAGAGAAAGCCAGATTCCCAATGTTGTTCTTCCTCCTACTTAGAAGCCCCTGCCCTCCTTCTCTTCAGGTAATGGATGGCAGGCTTCCTTCTGAGTTCACATGCAGAAACTTACTCCAGTCCAGGCTAGCTAGGAGTTCAGAACCAAGGTGGAATAAAGAAATGTACATCTGAGCTCTTCTGTTCTTGTTTTTATTTCATATTAGACCAAATTTCTTTACCATGTTGGCTAAATCTAAATATTAGAGATTAGTCCCTCCTGGTCGGGTCTGCTGACAATTGGGTTCCAGTGGGTAAGGGTTCTTTACTATTAAAAGACAAGGAAAGCTCCAACTTTGCATTTCTTCGATGAAAGGCACTGTCAATGAACAAGGCTTCACACGACTAGAGACATGAAAGTGAGTGCAACTTTTTTTGGCATTTTTCCGGCCGGGGCCGGGTTCAAACCCAGCACCCTCAGTATATGGGGCCGGCACCCTATTCACTGAACCACAGGCACCACCTGGAATGCAACTTTCTTAATTTAGTCTGTCCTGTCCTACTTGTTCCTCTGATTGTCAGCCATCACATAATTTATTGAACGCTTGCTTTGTGCCAGGCACTGTGTTGAGTACAGTACATAAATTTTACTTAATTGCCCAATAATCCCATTTACCATTTTTATTCCCAATTTACAGGTAAAGAAATTGAGACACAGAAAGCTTGCATTGCTCTAGGGCACTATACTCATTGAGATGTTTTCAGCAGACAAAAATAAATGGCTCTTAAAAGTATGGAAATAGGCCCGGTGCCTGTGGCTCAAGTGGCTAAGGCATCAGCCACATATACCTAAGGTGGCGGGTTAGAATCCAGCCTGGGCCTGCCAAACAACAACGACGGCTGCAACCAAAAAATAGCCAGGCCTTGTGGCAGGTGCCTGTGGTCCCAGCTACTTGGGAGGCTGAGGCAGGAGACTTGCTTGAGCCCAGGAGTTGGAGGTTGCTGTGAGCTGTGATGCCACAGCACTCTACCCAGGGGGATAGCTTGAGGCTCTGTCTCAAAAAAAAAAAAAAAAAAAAAAAGTATGGAAATATTTTTTCATTCATAATAAAAGAAATACAACTTAAAACCACACAGATATCTTTTAAAATTTTCAGATGGGCAAAGATCAAGAAATTTGTTAAAACTCTTTGTTGGCAAGCATTGGGTAATAGGCACTCTCATAATAGTTGATGGGAGTATAAATTGGTACAACCTCTGAAGAGGACAATATGGCAATGTCTTTCAAAATTATAAAAGCACTAATTCTTTGATCTAGTAATTCCACTTCTAGGAATTTAACCTTCATATATGCTTTCACCAAGTGTGAAATAACATATGTAGGATTTTTTTAATTACAGTGTTATCTGTAACAGCAGATTAGAAATAGATTAGAAGCAATCAATTGCTATGGGACCCTAAACTAGTTCTAAATACCTTAATAAGAAAAATATCCAAAATAGATTAAGGGGAAAAGGGAGATTGTATAACAACAGGTGACATATGCTGCTATTTGTCTAAAGAAAGGGGAAAGAGAAGTGGTTATCTGCTAACCTCCTCCTTGCCACTCTATATCCCAACATTCAGAGAATTTCTTACTATTCCCCAAATATACCCTGCAGACACAGGACCTTCTTAAGTACTATTCCCAGGGCTCCCCCAACCCTCTCACCTGTCCTTCCAGAGACACTGCATGCATATACACATATGTCCTTTATTAAAAACACAAACAGCACACCATGAATGCTGTTCTACACTTTGCTTTTTCACTTCATATTTGCAAACAGAGCTGCCTTGTTCCCTGTTGTGGCTGTATTCTATTCCACTGACTGGATAAACCATAATTTATTTAATCCCCCATTGACAGACATTTCCATTGTTTCCTATCTTTTGCTTATAAAAAATGTTGTAATAAATATTCTTGTGCATATGTTATTTCACATTATATTTATGGGAATTTATCTATGGGATAAATTCTTAGAAACAATGGTGGTTTGTGGGGAAGGCGACAGGGTGGACAGGTACAGAATTGGAAGATTTTTTTGTTGTATCCCTTTTTGTATCTTGCTGACTTTTGTACCATGTATATTACCTACTCAAAAAAATAAAATATTTTTAAATACAGCTACTGGTCACAAACTGCTTAAATGCTCCCTCTCTTTATATATTTGTCTCAATATAACTTACAGTTAAAGCCAGTGATATTATTTGCAAATTTCTTAAAGCAAATTTCTGTTAGGCAGCTCTGTGGCATTTTTATAGAGAAAGAAGGGCAAACAGAGATTTAAAAAAAAAAAAAAAGCAGTCATAAACATCAATGCTAAGAAAAGTAGAGGAGTTTTCTGTCTTTCAAAGATGCAGAAGTCAGGCTAGGTCCCGCCCAAAGCCAGCTGCACATCAGCTTGGAGCCAGAGTTCAAGGGAGAACTGCACCACTGTGATCAGTGCTGCCCACTTTGTTATAGAGGGTGGCTCTTGCCAAGTGTTAGCCCTGTACTCTAAGGCCTTACAACAAATGACAAAGGAGGCTGGGTCAGGAGGCTCACACCTAGAATCCTAGCACTTTAGGAGGCCAAAGGCCAGGAGTTTAAGAACAAGACTCCATCCTCTTAAGAAAGTTAGAGAAAGAAAAGTAATTTCCTAAACACTTACTTTTAGTAGTGCTTCCTAAACTCTTTTTTTTTGAGACAGAGCCTCAAGCTGTCCCCCTGGGTACAATGCCGTGGCCTCACAGCTCACAGCAACCTCCAACTCCTGGGCTTAAGCGAGTCTCCTGCCTCCACCTCCCAAGTAGCTAGGACCACAGGCGCCCACCACAACGCCCAATTATTTTTTGGTTGGAGCCATCATTGTTGTTTGGCAGGCCCAGGCTGGATTTGAACTCGCCACCTTAGGTGTATGTGGCTGGCACCTTAGCACTTGAGCCACAGGTGCCAAGCTACCTAAACTCTTACTTCTGGTTTTCTTCTAATCCCTTGTAAATAGTCAATATTTCCATACAAAGAAACTAAGGGTGGGTGGGACACATACAGCTCCCAAGCCAGTAGTCACTACCATCATATAACTCAAGTGTGACACAGTAAGATCTGGATACTGACCAGTAGGCCCCTTCTTTAAACCAACAGCATAAAGCTGATTCACAGCATAGAGCAGATTCAGGGGTCGCTTGGTTTTGGTTCTTGTGTGATGCCTTGGGCAGTGGCATCCATAAAAAGTAAAATAATGCCAAGTCTGCAAAAAATAAGGACTTGACTATAAAGGACGCCAAGAGCCAGATGACATCTGAGCAAGATGATCTGCAGCTAAGGGGTGGACCCTTGGGCCATTCGTCTGCAGGAGCTCCTTATGGAGAAAGAGCCAGATCCTTTAGCACATAGTCATTTGTTAATTACTCCCCTCACCTGTGTTGTAGGGTCTCAATGTGTGACACTTGACAACCTTCCTTTGAAAGTAATGGGAAGGTAAAAGATCTTCTAGTTGATAGTGGAAGAATATAAAATTTTCCTAAATGAATTCATACAGTGAACAAAAGTTGTGAAAATGACCACTGGCTTTTATGGGCCACCAAAAGAATATCTGGCCAGAAATGTCTGCAGATTTTTTTTTCTTTTAATTTCAGGTTAATATGAGGGTATAACTAGGTCACAATATTTGAATATGTTAGGTAGAGTCCCTCTTGTAGTTCTGCAGATTTTAAGCCCACTTTACCATGCATTCTGTTTATGCCCGTTAGTGTTCCCTTGGTGTCATCATTCCTCTATGCCCAGTGTGTGTGTGTGTTTGGAGACTCTTGCTCTATTCCCAATGGCCTCAGCCTAGCTCACAGCAACCTCAAACTTCTGAGTTTAAGCAATCCTCCTGCCTCAGCCTCTGGCCTCTTAGCTGGAACTACAGAGGCCCATCTGGATTTTTCTATTTTTAGTAAAAATGGGGTCTCATTTGTGCTCAAGCTCGTTTCAAACTTCTGACATCAAGGGATCCTCCCACATCTGCCTCCCAGAGTACTAGGACTACAGGCATCAGCCATGGTACCCTTCCTATGCCCTGTGTTCTTAAATCATCTCCCTCCAAAGGAGACATTTTGCTACCACTTCTGGTTTCCCCATGAAGCTTTTTCAGTGTGTAGTGAGGTGATTCCCCAAATCCACCTTCTTCTAAACACAAAATTCCTATAAGTACTTACATACAGGTTTCTGCATGCTAAGGGACCCTGTTTCTGCCTAGTTGATTGCTGCAATTTAGCGATTTATTTATTTAGCAACTAAAGCTATTCTCTGCTTATGCTCAGCAGGAGTTTTAAAACCACCAAATCAATAAGCCACAAAAATATTCTGGAAGAATAGATTCTAACCTTTAAAATGTAGCAAACTCTCTTTTTAAGGATGAAGAAAGGAGGCAGTGCCTCTGGCTTAAAGGATTAAGGCGCCGGCCCCATATGTCAGAGGTGGTGGGTTCAAACCCAGCCCTGGCCAAAAACCAAAAAAAAAAAAAAAAAAAAAAAAAAAAAGGATGATGAAAGGATTTAGATAACCTGAACTGAAAGTCTCATCAGACAAGGTATTGGCAGCAACTTTGTCTGAGGAATGTGTGTGCACATGTGCTGTGCTATGGCAGCCAAGAAATCTGCTCAGGTTCCTCAATGTCCCAGTCTTTCTTCTAATCACAAGATGGGTTTGTTTTCTCCTAAGTCCTGAATTTTTCCACATTGAAAATATAAGTAGGCTCGGCGCCTATGGCTCAAGCCGCTAAGGCGCCAGCCACATACACCTAAGGTGGCGGGTTCAAATCCAACCCAGACCCGCCAAACAACAATAATGGCTGGAACCAAAAAAAATAGCCAGGCATTGTGGCAGGCGCCTGTGGTCCCAGCTACTTGGGAGGCTGAGGCAGGAGACTCGCTTGAGCCCAGGAGTTGGAGGTTGCTGTGAGCAGTGAAGCCATAGCACTCTACTTGGGGACAGCTTGAGGCTCTGTCTCAAACAAAAAAAAGAGAAAATTTTTCAAAAGAAGAAAATATAAGTAAGCTCCAGTCTCAGATACTTTGTTTCTAAATTCTATCTCCTTTTTTTTTTTTTTTACAGTTTTTTTGGCCAGGGCTGGGTTTGAACCCTCCACCTCTGGCATATGGGGCCATATGCCGGTGCCTTACTCCTCTAATCCAGTCCAAAAAACAAATGTATACTGTAACAAACTTGGAGGCTCCCAAGCAAAAGACAGATTTAACCAATAACTCATACACAATCAACTTTTGTTTCCCCAACAGGGCGTGGTGGCTCACAGCTATAACCTTAGCACTTCGGGAGGCTGCGGTGGGAGGATCACTTGAGGCCAAAAGTTAGAAACCAGCTTGAGCAACAGCAAGACCTCATGCCCTGCAAAAATATACAAAAATTAGCTAGGCGTTGTGGTGGGCCTGTAATCCCCCCTACTCAGGAAGCTGAGGTCGGTGGATTACTCAAGCCTAGGAGTTTGAGGTTGCAGTGAGTTAATGATGCCATTGCACTCTAGCCCAGGCAATAGAGTAAGACCCTGTCCCAAAACAAAGATGAAAACAAACAAACAAAAAATCATTTCTTGTGATGATGGGGTAGATGATTTTTCTTCTTTTAGTTGTCTATCCATACAGTACTAGGATCCCAGTATTTCAAGGTCTGTAGCCTATTTAAGTGCCATACCTAAACTTTAACTCATTGGAATTTGTGGTTTAAGAAAAAAGTAGGGTTGCCAGGTTTAGCAAATAAAAATACAGGATGACAAGTTAAATTTGGATTTCAGACAAACAATAAAGAATTTTTTAGTGTAACTATATCCCAAATACTACATGACACATAACCTCATACACTAAAAAGTATTTTTGTTTATCTGAAATTCAAATTAACTGAATATCCTGCGTTTCATTTAGTATCTATTACTTAGATCACTAAGTATCTATTATCTATACCAACTAAGGGACCATTTATTTCCTGCTATGCCTGCAACCAGAGATACTTTATGCCACAAAGTAGGTGAAGCAACATATCCTAAAAAGGATTCAGTCACAAAATTGTCACAGAATCTTGAAATGTCTTCAGTATAGAGTAGGAAGGTTATTTTTCAAATAATTCAGGTCTAAGATTTCTGAGTAATGGACTTTTATGAATTCTACCAGATCTTTGAGTCTGAGAATGAAATGTACGTGCCCTATCAAATGGGAAGTAGAGAATGGGCTGCACATTGCACACAAAAGATAATTGTCCCTAGAGGAGTTGCAGATGTGGCCGTTGTGTCACATTTGTGTCATTAGGTGGCAGAGAGAAAAAAGGCCATGTATACATTCAGTGTTCTGACCTATGAATGTTTGAATGATTAATAGTCTGACACAGGAGAGAAAAAAAAAAAAAGGAAGTCCAGTGGCACATTCAGGCAGGATAAAATGAAAAATAGTACGTTTCATTTGCCTTTCTCATTCTCTGTGACCCTGATGCAAACACAATAAGGACTTTTCCTTTAAAATTAAGCTTTTATACACAGCTATACACATATGTACAAGCAGTTTTGAGGGCCAGAGAAGTAACTCCAAATTTTGGAGCCTTGGAAGCTCTATAAATTAATGCTGAGTTTCAACCAGTGATTAAGTCTGAGATAACAGCATCTGGAGGCTTGGCCTTAGAAAGGGGGGGGTTGGAGAGATGGATGAAAAATTAAGCCAAGAGCACAAAAGCTTCACATTCTGAAAATAACAGTGGTAAAATTAAACACTCCTAGACTGAGGAAAATAAAATTCAGAGAGGGACATTATTAGAAAGAAACCTCTAGAACTGTACTAATCCCAGTTTCCTCAAATTGGTACAATGCCAGCAATCTCAGGGTCACCTATGATTGCATCAAAGTTTAACAGAGAATGATGACCCACAGGAGCAGCCTTGCTCTGCTTGAGGATTGTTCAACACTTGAAATGAGCTTCGGATCAGTTCTTGGCTGAAGTCCACCTGGGCTCCTTTCACGAAGGCCAAGCTATCAGAGTCAACCACCACTCTTGCCCCACCCTGTTCAAACACCCTGAAAAGACAAGAGGAAGGCGTTAATGAATACCACAAAGACCAAAACACAGTGAACCCAGAATTGTGTATCCTCTGTCTTCTAAAGTGCAGAGGGACCATTCCTTATTACTTCTAAGAGGGATGATTTTCTTTCAGGCAAAACGATTCAGTGGAATGAATACTGAGGAAGTTTAGGGACTTAGGCCTGGAATCTAGTCCAGCCTGACTCTACTGACTACCCTATAAACGTAGACAGGCCAATTTTCCTCTTATAACAATTGTTTTGAATCAAGACAACAAATCTTTACGGCATCCTCATTGTATGAGAAGGGTGGTATTAACCAACCCTAGAAAATCCTTTAAAATTTGGAACAAAAGTGCACCTGAAACTGGAGACACTTTTATCCCTACCTTACATCCTCTGAAGACCCACCCCTTCCTCCTTGCCTGTCGTCAGGGTTGATAACTGTATCCAGTGAAAATTTGTATTGGAATCCGGAGCATCCACCTCCCTCCACCTGCAGCCTGAGGAATTCTGACCCTTCGGTGATTTCCAGAAGCCTCTGAAATGCAGGAAGGGGGATCAAGGTTGCCTGACAATGGGAGTTAAAAGGGTGGGTGAAGGGGAGATCACATGGACACTGCCGCTTTGCCTCCAGCATCCTACCTGGACGCAGCTATCCGTGAGGCGGATCTGCCCTTCACCCGCCTCGGAGCTGGAGGATGATACTTCCCGACGCGCCTGAAGTCCCAAGGAGGCTGCGAGAAGCCTGCAGGGCAAGAGAGAAGGATGAGCCCGGGAGCAGAGGGGGACTTGGCGATCCTCACCTGCAGTCTCACTCTAAACAGGCGACCCTCACGTGGACGGCCTCACACCAAACCCTCACCTCCCCCGCGGGCCTTAGTTTCCCGTTTGTCCTGGAGGCGCAGAACCTAACACCATTTTCAGATGCCTGGCTAGCCTTGGTACCTGCCCCTTGGCCAGGGGGTGACCGCTCTGAGCGTCGCGGCCCCTATGGACAACCCCCGGGCGGCCGCCATCTTCCTCCTCAAGCTCCGCCCGTCGCGTCCCGCGTGTCTCCAACTCCCCAATCTAAGCCACGGAAGGCGGGGAGACTGGGCAGGGGGGCGGGATCGCGATGAGACCACGCCTACCAACATGCCTATTGGGTAGTACGGAGGGGGCAGCGGCTTGATTGGCTGGAAATGGTCCTTATTGAGGAAGCGGGGACTACCAGTAGAGCCAGGAGGAGCGCTAAGGGGAGGAGCGGGGCGGGACCGGAGCTGGGTCATCCCCAGCTGGGCCTCTGAGCTGACAGGATGGGCGGGGCTAGCGGGCTTCTGAGGCAGACAGAGCGGGAGCTAGTTCCCGCGAGCCGTGGGCGGGGCGCGGGCGGGCCTCAGCCTCGGTTGCTGATGACCGATCGCCTGACTGGGCTCCTCCCCGGACCCGCCCCCATAGGTTTATCTTGTGACCGCGGGCGGTCACGTCTTCTTTCCTCGAGCTTGGACCCTCGTTATCAACCATGCTTTTCCTGGACGTCGCGTTCGTGCTCCTGGTGCTCATCACCGCCGCGCAGGCCGAGCCCGTGCAGTTCAAGGACTGCGGTGAGCCCCGGGCCAGTCCGAGGTTCCGGCACCCTCTGAGGAAGCCCCCACTGGAGCCGTGCCGAGACCCCTCCAGCCTGGGTTGGGCGGGTCCCTTGGGTGGTCAGGTTCAGCCTAGGACTCTTGAGTGGAGCGGTTTGAGTTGCGGGAGGAGGTGCCTGCCTCAGTGAAACTCGACTGCACACAACTTTGTCTCTTTCCTTGGAACTTCACGTTTTGGGATCCCTGACTTTCCTGGAGGTGGGGCCTTTAGCTGAAGTTTTGTAAAGTTTGTAGGGCAGATAACAGAAGGTCTGCATAAAGCACCGAGGTGGAGGGCAGGGGCGCAGACCTCTATTTATGTCTTCTATCTTGTGTTCCCCTTCCTCTTTGCTTTTCTTTTTGCTTTACTTTTTGCTGACAAAGTCAAAGTCAATTTCCCTTTTCCTAATTTATTCTGTTACAAATAGGGCTTCCTTTGGGCCCTGGAATCTTTTGATTCTTAATCACTTTTTCCTCCCATAGTACTTCCCTCTCGCCGCTGTGGTTGGAATCTTTGTTGGAAATCATAACAGGGGGTAGAAATTCTGAGTGCCTTCATTCAGTCAAGTCAATAGAGCAGAACTCCAACAATTCTGTTCGAAGATGGAGATGGAGGGAAAGATTCAATGATCAATGAATGAGGCAAGAAACTGATTTTGTAACATTTGTGAGTTACAAAGGAAGCATGGAGATTGTGTAGTCAAACACTGAGTTCCAGGGATGTTTAGTAGCCTACCCCATGTCACACAGCAGAATAGAGAACCAGAGTAAGTTTGCTTCTTTCTATCCAGTGCCCAGGTAATAGTAACTGTTCGACAAATGTTTGTTTGTTTTGAGACAATCTTGCACTGTCTCCTGGGAAGAGTGCCATGGCCTCAGCCTAGCTCACAGCAACCTTGAACTCCTGGGCTTAAGTAATCCTGCCTCAGCTTCCTAAGTAGCCAGGACTACAGGCATGCACCACCATGCCCAGCTAATTTTTCTGGTTTTGGTAGAGACAGTATCTGGCCTTGCTCAAATTGGTCTCAAACTGCCACCTCAAGTGATCTTCCTCCCTCAGCCTCCCACAGTGCTAGGATACAGGCATGAGCCACCTCACCTGGCCTCAACAAATATTTGTTGAAAAAGTAAATGAGGAAATGTATACTCTTTCTACTTGGTCATGAAAATTCATATTGAGGCAAAAGCAAAGTTGAGGATTAGGGAACAGGAATAATTAAGGAATAGACTGCTGGCCTATTAACACTTGACAAATGCAATTCAATGCTTCCATTGAATTAAGAGACTGTCACCTAGAAGATGCTGTCAGATCACTCCCTTTCCATTAAACTCTTTTTTTTTTTTTTTTTTTTTGAGACAGAGTGTTTCAGCATGGTGTCACAGCACACAGCAACCTCAAAGTCTTTTGGGCTTAAGCAATTCTCTTGCCTCAGCCTCCCAAGTAGCTGGAACTACAGGCGGCTGGCTATTTTTTTGGTGTTGTCATTGTTGTTTAGCAGGCCTGGCCCAGGTTTGAACCCGCCAGCCCCTGTATATATAGCCAGTGCCCTAACCACTGAGCTATGGGTGCCAAGCCCCTCCATTAAACCTGTGACCAACATTTGGATGAAGGCTGGATTACAGGCTCACACCTGTAATCCTAGCACTCTGGAAGGTGGAGATGGTGGATTGCTTGAGCTCAGGAGTTCAAGATCAGCCTGAGCAAGAGCCAGACCCCATCTCTAAAACACAGCTGGGCATTGTGGTATGTGCCTATAGTCCCAGCTACTTGAGAGGCGGAGGGAAGAGGATTGCTTGAGCCCAGGAGTTTGAGGTTGCTGTGAGCTATGATGCCGCAGCACTACGAGCACTATGAAACTCTGTCTCAAAAAAAAGAAAAACAATATTTGGATGAAGACCCTGTATTAATTTTATCAATATTAACTCCTTTAGTTCTCACGGTTTGGGTTTTTTGTTGTTGTTGTTGTTGTTGTTGTTCTTTTATTTGTTTGTTTGTTTTTGAGACACAGTCTCATGATTTCACCCTCAGTAGGATGCTGTGGCATCACAGCTCACAGCAACCTCCAACTTTTATGCTTAAATGCTTCTCTTGCCTCAGCCTCCCAAGTAGCTGGGACTACACGTGCCCGCCACAATGCCCGACTATTTTCTTGTTGCAGTAGTTTAGCTGGCCCAGGCTGGGTTTGAACCTGCCACCTTTGGTGTATGTGGCTGGCGCCATAACCACTGTGCCGTGCCGCTCATAATCTGTTTTTCAGACAAGGAAACTGGAGTACATAGAGTAATTTGCCCAAGTCTCACAGCTAGTAAGTTATAGAAAACTGGGCTCAGCGCCTATGGTTCAAGTGGCTAAGGCACCAGCCACATACACCTAAGGTGGTGGGTTCAAATCCAGCCCAGGCCCACCAAGACAATGACGGCTGCAACCAAAAAATAGCTGGGCGTTGTGGCGGGTGCCTGTGGTCCCAGCTACTTGCTTGAATAGTAGCTCAAGCAAGTAGCTGGAGACTCGCTTGAGCCTAGGAGTTGGAGGTTGAGCAAGTAGCTCAAGCAAGTAGCTGGAGACTTGCTTGAGCCCAGGAGTTGGAAGTTGCCATGAGCTGTGATGCTACGGCACTCTACCCAGGAGGATAGCTTGAGGCTCTGTCTCAAAAAAAAAAAAGTTATAGAAAACTAATGAGCCTTTGTGCATAACTTTGGGTTTCAATGATAACACTTTTTTAAAAGAAGAAGAAGGGAAATAAATCCAGAAATTACTCATTTGAAAAAAAGAAAACCAAGAATACACTTATGGGAAGACCTTCTTAAAGGGAAGGAACGTTTCAATTACAGATTTTCAATTTACTTTAGAATTGGGAAATAGAAAGTAAGAACTTTGGCAGCACCTACATCAAAAGATTTTGTGTTCTCCTCCACACTCCCCTTCCATGGGGTGGGATTTCATCAGGTGAGAAGTGGGGCCAGGCAAATTAGTTTAGTAATGTTTGTAGATTAGAGCTGAGAAGTTAGTTCTGTTGACATTGGAAGTCTAAGAACCTCTTGTCAGTAAACTACTGCATGAAAGAGCTACAAGTGCTACTCTTTACTTATTTCCTACTAGATTATGTGGCCCAGCCTTGACAGAAACAGGTAGAAGCTGGACGTGGAAAGCTTTAACATAAGCACTGGTTTTCAATAGAGTATTGATTAAAGTTCAAGATTTTGGGTTTTTCTCCACAGAAGAAGGGATGGAGTGAAGAGAGTGCTCTTCGAACTGTTTTGGGTGCTTAGAGTATGTACAGTCTTGAGAACTTTGCTATGACGGGGAAGCAAGGGGGATAAAGGACTGTAAGGTATTATGTATAGACCTAGCTGGAGCAGCGTTGATCAAGGTGATGATAGAGGTTATTTAAAGAGACTGTCCCACCCAAGAGTAGGCATAGGCAGAGAAAACAAAGTGCTTCCACTTAGGTTTCTCAGTGCATATCATATTTTATTTATATTTGTTTGTTTTTATTTTTATTTATTTATTTTTTTGAGACAGAGCCTCAAGCTATTGCCCTGGGTAGAGTGCCATGGCATCCCAGCTCACAGCAACCTCCAAGTCCTAGGCTTAAACAGTTCTCTTGCCTCAGCCTCCCAAGTAGCTAGGACTACAGGCGCTGGGCCCTACGCCCAGCCATTTTTTGGTTGTAGTTATCATTGCTGTTTGGCAGGCCTGGGCTGGATTCAAACCCACCAGCTCTATTGTATGTGGCTGGTGCTTTAGCCACTTGAGCTATAGGCACCAAGCCTGTTTTTATTTTTAGAGGTAGAATCTCACTCTGTCACCCATACTGGAGGACAATGGTATTGTCACAGCTCACTGCAATCCCAGATTCCAGGGCTCAAGGAATCCTCCTGTTTC